GATATTTGATTAGATATTAGATTAGATATTAAATTATATTACATTAGATTAGATATTATATTATTAGATTAGATTAGATATTATATTATTAGATATTATATTATGTTAAGTATTATACTATGTTAGATTACATTAAATATTAAATTAGATTAGATATTATATCATATTATTAGATATTATATTATTATATTAGATATTATATTATGTTAGATATTATATTTGATTAGATATATAATTAGATGAGATATCAGATATCATATTATTAGATATTATGTTAGATATTATACTATATTAGATTAGATTAAATATTAGATTAGATATTATATCATATTATTAGATATTATATTATATTATGTTGGATATTAGATTAGATATTATATAATTAGATGAGATATTAGATATTATATTATTAGATATTATATTATGTTAGATATTATACTATATTAGATTAGATTAGATTAAATATTAAATTAAATTAGATATATTATTAGATATTAGATATTATATTATTAGATTAGATATTATATTATATTATGTTAGATATTATATTAGATATTATATTAGATGAGATATTATATAATTAGATGAGATATTGAATATTATATTATTAGATATTATATTATGTTAGATATTATACTATATTAGATTAGATTAAATATTAAATTAGATTAGATATTATATCATATTAGATATTATATTATTATATTAGACATTATATTATATTATGCTAGATATTATATTATGCTGGATATTAGATTAGATTAGATATTATATAATTAGATGAGATATTAGATATTATATTATTAGATATTATATTATGTTAGATATACTATATTATATTAGATTAGATTAAATATTAAATTAGATTAGATATTATATTATTAGATTAGATATTAGATATTATATTATTAGATTAGATATTATATTATGTTAGATATTATATTATATTAGATATTATATTATATTAGATATTATTTATAAATATAAATGACTGGGAAAACTGTATTTATTGCTGACGCGTTTTTTTTTTGTTTTTTTTTGTTGTTGTTTTGTTAGTTACTTTCTTTAATTAGATTCACTTCGTTTTTTGCTTTGAGAAAGTCCACATTGGACGAAACGCTTCAGCAGTAACTACAGTTTTCCTATTGTTATTTATATTTATAAATATTGTCTTTTCTACAGGTTAACTCTGAGAAATTTTCATATTTTATTATATTATTATATTGGATTAAATATTATATTCTATTATATTATTAGATGTTTTATTATTATATTATATTATATTATATTAGATATTATATTATAATATTACATTAGATATTAGATCAGATATTAGATTAGATTAGATTATATTATTAGATTAGATATATTATATTCTATTATATTATTGGCAGAAACAATCAACACTCGGCAATTTTAATTGTTTTTAAAAGCTATTTTAGAATTTTAACGAAGCCCAAACAAATGAAACTAGATTTTTACATTCCTTTCCGGGAACAAACTACAAACATGTTAAACATTATTTTTATAAATAAACAATCTTATAGACAGTCTTTAACATTTTTGTTGTCAATTCACCAGAAAAAAAAGACATAAATCCAGATGATTGCAACTTGCAAACGAAAGAATTGCCCGGAAAATTCTTCTTTTTTTCCCCAAAAATGTATAATGACAGTTACTCGTCGTTGTGTGTTTATTTAAATTTTCTTGTTTTTCTTGTCATGAATAAAATAATCGTTTTCATAGTTCGCTATCTGAAGTTCTGTGGGTGATACAGTGATGAGGGGTATGGTCCGAAATCAGAATCAGAGATTCTCCATACACCGCTGTTTCTGGCATACTGTATCACAGGAATTCCAGTCTACCCCGAGATCCCCATAGTCTAGTCTGTGGCTGCCAGGTACCCAGTTTCCACGGTATAGCACCTATGCACTCTGTGCCTCTTTTCACTCCGAAGAGCTAGTGTCTGTAACTGGAAGCGAGAAAGACAACACTACACTAGGCCACAATGCTAGAGACTAGCTCGATAGTGTCTGTAACTGGAAGCGAGAAAGACAACACTACACTAGGCCACAATGCTAGAGACTAGCTCGATGGTGTCTGTAACTGGAAGCGAGAAAGACAACACTACACTAGGCCACAATGCTAGAGACTAGCTCGATGGTGTCTGTAACTGGAAGCGAGAAAGACAACACTACACTAGGCCACAATGCTAGACACTACAAGCACTTGTGCTCAGAGAGCATCATACCACCCACACAATTTCATAGTTCTAACATTTTTTGTAAATCTAGTAAATAAATATTGTGTTGTAAATCTAGCAAATAAATATTGCTTTGTAAATCTAATAAATAAATATTGCTTTTAAATACAGTAAATAAATATTACGTTGTAAATATAGTAAATAAATATTGCTTTGTAGATCTAATAAATAAATATTGCTTTGTAAATATATTAATCAATATTGGTTTGTATATCTAGTAAATAAATATTGTTTTAAATACAATAAATAAATATTACGTTGTAAATATAGTAAATAAATATTGCTTTCTAGATCTAGTAAATAAATATTCCTTTGTAAATTTAGTAAATAAATATTGCGTTGTAAATATAGTAAATAAATATTACTTTTAAATATAGTAAATACATATTGCTTTGTAAATGTAGTAAATAAATATTGCTTTTAAATACAGTAAATAAATATTACGTTGTAAATATAGTAAATAAATATTGCTTTGTAGATCTAATAAATAAATATTGCTTGGTAAATCTAGTAAATAAATATTCCTTTGTAAATTTTAGTAAATAAATATTGCTTTTTATATCTAGTAAATATATATTGATTTGTAAATATAGTAAATAAATATTGCTTTTGAATACAGTAAATAAATATTGCGTTCTAAATATAGTAAATAAATATTGCTTTGTAAATCTAGTAAATAAATATTGCGTTGTAAATATAGTAAATAAATATTGCTTTGTATTTCTAGTAAATAAATATTGCTTTGTATTTCTAGTAAATAAATATTGCGTTGGGAATATAGCAAATAAATATTGCTTTGTAAATCTAGTAAATAAATATTGCTTTTAAATACAGTAAATACATATTGCTTTGTAAATATAGTAAATAAATATTGCTTTTAAATACAGTAAATAAATATTACGTTGTAAATATATATATTGCTTTGTATTTCTTGTAAATAAATATTGCGTTGGGAATATAGTAAATAAATACTGCTTATTAAATATATATGAATAAATTTTGATTTGCAAATATAGTAAATGAATTTTGCTCTGGGTCGAATTCTTTTGTTGTCAATTCTTGAGAAAATAAAAAGAATGCTTAAATACAGTTTAGGCTTCATTGTAAAAATGACTTTTTAAATCAATAATAATGATTTAAGAGAAAAACCGCCAAGAAAATAACTGTTCTTTGACAAAGTGTACTTTTTATGAGTACAAATGTTAGACTTTGCCACATGTTTTTTTCTAAAAAGAAAAAAACATGTGGCAAAGTCTAACATTTGTACTCATAAAAAGTACACAGTGCGTACTCAGATTTTTTTTTTTTTTTTACAAAACAAATGAGAATTCGGGATTCGTAAATAAGGCAAGATTACAATTCTTTTCGACAAATATTTTTTGTTATTCAAGTAGTGGCTGAAAGATATAAAAGTGACTTGACCCAAAAAATTGTGAGTTCAATATCTGGCCACAGCAGAGGGGACTTGGAGAGATGAATTATCAAGAGGTATTAACTGAAACTGGGATATCCAAAAATGACATGGCACGTGGGATTAGAACAACAGAACAATCTATCCCCATGGAATAAATAAAGGGGTTCGGTTTGAAATTCCAAGGAATATCACCTGAAAAAAACTGGAGGGTACAGCGGCCGAAAAGTCGTAAATATTGCAATAAAGATGAGGACAACGGCCCAAACAATGTAAATATTGTAAATCAAACAACATAGTTTTACCCTCCCCACCCCAGCCACCAAATAAAGGCTGGACAAAAAAAAAAAAAAAAAAACAAGAGAACAAAAGACAAAAACAAGAAAGAAAGAAATCAGACAAAATTTAGGAAAATATGACAAACTGGAAAAGTTTATTTGTGACGCGTTTCATCCGTTACAATTTCATCGGACTGGGCTTTGTTGACGTTGCCACGTCTACACATGCGCACGAAACGAGAGACGCAGCTAGGTTTAAAATTTTTTGAAAGAATATTTTTTTCAATCTAGCCAAATTCATCTGTATTCTTATATATGAAAATAGACTATATAAATAGTAAAATAAGAAAATAGACTACATAAATAGTAAAATAAGAAAATAGACTATATAAAGAAAATAGACTATATAAAGAAAATAGAGTATATAATGAAAATAGACTATATAATGCCCTAATAAGCTTTCAAATAAAACTTAAGGAAAACTGATATGATTGTTGCTGCTTTTTTTTTGCCGACAGGGACTGAGAGACATGTCTCTTTGAGTGTACATACGGCTAAGCTCTGATAGAGGTTTGGGGATTATTAAAAATTTATTACATAAGCGATTGAAGGAGAAAAGGTTTCATTGAAATAGATGAATGTTGATAGAGGAAGAAAACCGAAGAGAAAAGAAAACATTAAAAAAAAGGGGGAGAAAAGATAAAGAAAAAAGAAAATGGTGGTGGGGGGAGCCATTTTGATTAATGCCCGTCAACTGACCACAAATGGCGTCTGCGAGACGACACACCCCGGTGACTGCGCCAGGTGCCATCCGGTGAGTTACAAGCTACATTTGAAACGTTTGTTCATCAGTTTGGTGCGACCGCATTTTAGTTGGAAAGTTGTCACGGATCACTTGGCCGGTTTAGGCTTTTTCTTTTAAATCCTACGAGATAGCAGTTTGACCAAAGATACGCGTATGTAAGTGTATAATCAAAATATATCCATTGACACATTCCTGTAAAAGATCCACACTTTTACATCCTAACTAAATGACATATATTAAACG